CGAACGACACATCACTAGTAATGAGGCGTGAACTCTCGTGTCAGTGGGCTCTTTGCATGTCAGCTTCCGCGTTCATGGAAATGCGGCTCGCTCATTTCCGGTCTGTGAAAAACGGCATTGGTTTATACATGCTGTTTACAGGGCTTGCCCAAACTTATGATCAACGACGTACATCGCTTTTGTAAATCCTTCTCCAAAGTACCAACGAGTAAATTAGAGAAGGGCTTTAAGATGTTTGCCTTGTATTACATCCACGGATACAAAGGGGAGTCTTATTCATTCAAGTTTGTGACTGGTGTTAGCTATAGCTCACGCTAATAGACGTTACTCCCGGACAGTGATAGTGTATGCATGTGGCAATGAAGTAACTATGAACATCCCCAGTCATTCTAGCAGAGAATGTTTAACTTAGTATGTTCTATATGTGCTTAAGTACACATTACGCTAATCTGTGTTTGCTATTCTTAGTGTCAAACAGAAACACGGGAACAGGAGAGGTTGCTGCTTCAGATCCATGAAGAAGCACGACAAACATCGTAGTGTAAAAGTATGGCAGCACTGGTACTTTGTCAGAGTTCTAATTAAAGCTGTTCGATATTCAGATTTATGTTATATAGACTCATCAAAGCTTATGATAAACGTAAAACGAGCCACGGAGATGCTGCAGCGAATGCTTTCAGACAATGTTGTGAAATTGAAATAAAATTGAATATTTAGGTACAGTATTATACTGTATTATACAGTATAGCGTATTTTAATTATACACAGTTCAGTAATTAAATTTGTACAGTACTATAATTTGGAAAGCGTTTGAAATGGTTGTACTATATTTTGCAAATTAGTGACGCTGTCCGTTTTATTACCTATTATTCATGTAAGAAATATACACGTGTCAGTTAGACTGAGACATGAAGAAGAAAAAATCGGTTATGATGATGATCCGATTATAATTATCAATTTTGCCCAGGCAGACGTGTTCACTATAAGTGGTAAAGTAAAATGTGGCAATAAATTTTATGAAACGTGAGTATAAATATGTTGGATTTGTCGAAATTCCTAGAGGTTTGCGTGGAATCTTAAAACTCGATTGTATTTTGAGGATGTGGTGCACTTAGGAAATTATTATTGTTTTTTTAGCTTCTGAAACACAAGTTTATCCATAGTTACTGAAACCGGAAGCAGTGAGCCGTATTTCGCACTGGCGGATATGACGTCACTGCGATGTTATTGTTTATCGCAATAATTCCTGGGACAATTTATCGTCCAGCAAAATTTGTTATTGTGACAGGCCTATATACAGTATGACATGTCTATTTCTGGGTCCATCGGTCATCGCCAGCAATGCATCGGTGTAGGGTGACACTAGATGCCAAGAACACAGCAACCTTCCCATCTGGCCACAGTGGGCTGGACCATGAGAGTAGAGCACAGACTCATTAGCTCTTCATTCAGCTTTACTGTCACACTAGTGACACATGGGAGGACGGGAACCGCAATCCAGGTGACCCCATCATGATTTTCAATCTCTGCTGTGGGTCCGTGATGAGAGAGAGAAACAGCCCAAGAGGCAAAGGGAGGTAAAGACTCAGCAGTTTGGGACACTGTGACTGCGATCGGGAAGGTTGTCGGATCAGATCCCAGGGTCAGCACAGTGATTTTAATGTTGGGTCCTTAATCTCCCATTTGCTCCAGGAATTAACCCTACTTTCTCAATTCTCAATTGTACAACACTTTGGATAAATATTTAACCTGTGTATAACCTTGTTGTTTTATACCATGCCCTTTAACGTTCAACATGACTGTCTGGCTGTGTGTGTGTGGGTTTGCATAGATCACATTTGAGGACCAAATTGTCCCCAAAGTGTAGTAAAACCTGAAATCTCCCTACTTTTGGGGACATCTTTTGAGGTCCCCATTTGGATAACCTCAGTTTTATAAAAATCTGTGAATGCAATCAAAAAAGTAAAAATGCAAAAAGTCTTGTATTTGGGTTGGTTACCTATGGTTAAGGTTAGGGATGGGTAGAGGTTAAGGGTGTTGTGATTGGGATTAGGGTTTTCCCCATAGAAGTGAATGGACGGTCCCCATTCAGATAGGAAGACCAACTTGTGTGTGTGTGTGTGTGTGTGTGTGTATATATATATATCTCACACATATAAAGTTATGTTTGCACCAGTAAAACACTGCTGATCAGAGCCTGAGGGAGATGCATTTCCCGACTACCACCCCTTCACCATTGCCATTCACAGGTTTAAGACATTAACAAGTGCACCAGTGCCTCTCCCCAGGCCACAAGACAGCAACAAATACATGCAAGTCTCACCTCACCCACAGAGGCCCTGTTCACCAGCCTAGTATATGACCATATGAGAAGCCGACCACAGAGATCATAGCCACATGCTCTTGCTTAATCCTGGTGAGAGCACCAGTCTTGAAACATAAAGTAGGACCACAGTGATAAAGCAGAAAATTGCTTACAGTACTTACAGATCTGCACATTGTGAAACGAAAGCTGAGATAAAACAACACATCCAACTCGGCCATCAGCCGAAACAGCAAATGCATAGGAACATTCATTAATCATGTAATCCACCCATAGGGACAGACTTCATAGCGTGACTGCAAGGGGCTCACAGACAGTTTAGAGGAGCATGTTTGGTGGGTCGAGGGGTGTGAGTGTACAAGGAAGAGAGGGGGTGTGTATGTGTGGGGCTTCACACCCACGTTTGAAAAAGCAAAAACAGAGTGAGGGTGCGCCGCCTCATTTCCGCACCTCTGCGGCTTCCTGTGCCCCTGCACTCAGCGCTACTGCACACACGTGCTGCAGATGGGGCGCCTTCCCCAAGAAAGCTAAGCTGCGTTCTCACTCGTTTCAGTCCCCACTGATCTGGTGGTCACACAAAAAACAAACAAACAAACAAGATCCATCTTATTTTAGTGTCCCTCAGCATGCAATTTTGCCCTTCTACTGGCCTTCAACCCGAATGCAGTTTAAATAATGTAAAAGAAAGCATAAAATAACATAGAGTAATAACTTTTTTATTGGAATGGGGAATTAGGCCATTGCCACCTATAATTAACAACATAAAACATTCAAATATCCATACACATTAATGCTGCTTAGAAATGTTTACATCACTCTGACATAAACCTGATTATAGGAGCCACATACACACACACAAACACACACGTGTATATATAACCATCAGTTAACATTTACCATAACGAGTATTTATGCAATTTATAGTAATTTAAAAACTGTAATCAACTCCTTTTGCTTTTGCATTCGATTTGATGCCACTGAGCTTCTCAAACACATTACAGCCTACCCAGACTAAATCCACCGTGAGGCCTGTTTAATAAGCTCAATCACAATTATGTTCATGACTCCAAAGCTGCACTTCCAGTCCCTGAAACAGGCTGATATTACAGAAGGCAAGACTGCATGAGGATGTCTCTCGCATTTCCTATAGGTGACCCTGCAGTTTGAGCACCATATCCGCTTTATCACTCAAACTCAGAGGCAGCCTGCTATCCCAGGACATTTTGCCCCATCTTGAGTCCCTTGATTGATTCACTGACTGCATCATCCAGCATTGTTTCATCTGAGATAAGGAGGGCTTCTCATTGGCATTAAAGCAGACAACCATGATTTTATTGGCTGATACTCAACTGTCACTTTGCTGGTTGTCACATGAGTGATAACAGGGTCTGGCACCAGAATTAAAAAGCTACCCTCATTTCTGAAAGCATATGTACAATTCTGGGTTTCCCGTCTAGGGAGATGAGTGACCCACTAAGGAAGCTCATACTCTACTCTAGCCCTGTGCAGGACCCACACTCTGGCTAACCCCGATTCTCAAACCCCAACTTGTAGCCTTATATTCCAGCACCTGACATCAGCTACCTATTGGCCTACTTCTGTCAGGTGAGAATCCTTCGATTCACAGATACCGTTCACGTGTATTCGTCACACCAGCAACCTAGTGGATGATGAGCCTTCTGGGATATCATAAGGTTATGGATGGACAGGTGGTCTTTTTCCCTTCTCCTCTAGTGGACTACATCTTAAATTATGTTTGCTGGCAGTTTGACTGTTCTATCCAAAATCACTCACAAGTATTGCAAGCATACATGTATACCCCATTCTGCAAAATACGAGGTCTGTTTACATTATGTGTATTTTTTGTTACAATTGCAATCAACATACTAAAGCACTAAAATGCAATGAACCCTCCAACAGGGGTAGATCCTTTATGAAGCTCAATAAGGAAAAGTAAGCTCAGTATAAAAATATAACAGAAGCGCAAGGGAAGGGGGGTGCAAGCTCTGGCGTTAAGACGACATATTACAGTCGTTGCATTTTTTAAGATCTCCGGGGGGTGTTCAAATGAGATTGGACAGTCTGGTGCATCATGTTCCACCCGCGCACCCCTTATTCTGCATAATGCGCATCCTAGATACTCAAAAGCGTCGGTTAATTATTCCCCACTATTCATCCCAGTGATGTAAACGGATATATCTTGAGAATCAATCGGCTCCCGTCTGAAATACTGGAAGTCTATCGAAACCGTTGCATTTCCGCAGTATTACAATGCCTAGCCTTCGCTATGCAAAATGCCTCACATAAAAATGTTAAGGAAAAAAAAATCAACTTTTCTTATGAATTTTATGAAGATATTTGAGTTTTCATCTCCGGTATAACAGAATTACATGTAATATAAAAATTATTTTAACGAGTTAATGACGTTTGGTACAACATGTAAATAAATGCACAAATCAAGCACGTCAATAATAAAGATTAATAATGACAAATATATCTAATGATGATACAAATAACAATAAAAATACAAATCTGCGGTGCTTAATTTCATGTTCCAGATTTTGAATGATTTTACTACAGTAAACAAAGCTACCATGAATTAAGTCGTCCATCGCCTATTTCGAGATTACGTGGAGAATTTTCAAATCATATTGTCAATGTTATGAAATGCACTTACAGTCCTACGGGTCAGGCACACACTCCATGTCGGCGACTCGATATGCTCCGGTTTTTATTCAATCGTAGCCATTTCGCTGTATGCACCCCTTCTGCTGTTACACGGGACTCGCTCCGCCCCTTGATGACGCGCGTTGACGTCTAGTCGTCATCACGGGGCCCTGCCCCTTACAAAGGCCACGCCCAAGACCCCCTGACTGAAGCTAAAGCAAATACGCCGCGATTCTCTCTGACAATGATTTTATAGCGGCCGCAGTAACATCACGTGTGTTAGGGCAGCTCGGCCTGATATGCTTAGTAACACTCACAACATGAATAACCTGTTTTTAAACGTCAAATTCACTCCATATCCCATACTTAAATACATTGTGGTAATTTTCGTTTTCTTTAATTATTATTCATGCATAAAATTAATAAAAGGGTTTGGATTCTAACCTTCAGCGAATTTGTAATTCCCAAAAAGTTAATTGACACAACTGAACGAAATTAGCACGTTAACGGAAAAAAGCTATATTTAGAAAAATACCTCATTACGTATGATAACGGTTTCGATTATGTCATCCGCTACTGACTGGGTTAAAGATATAACCATGCTACCATCTTGTGGTACTAATTTGGTATTTTTCAACATTGCGTGAACTGGGAAATGCTGGAAGAGTCTACTAGACAACACTGGGTTTCAGTCTTAGGTGTGCTGCTCGTTTAATTCCATGAATGAGCCGTTAACCAAACTCGGGTAGCTTGTTTTAAAAACATTACATTTTCTTAGACCTGCGAAGAGGAGATGTCTGTATTTTTATGTGTAGACCTTTTGTTACGAAATGTAACAAAATGTAAAATTCTGATCTGAAACAGTAACACGACTTACCTGTGTAACGGTAAGCAAGTTAGTGTAACACATTGAACTAGTTTAGTTAAACATACCCATTGTAGCATTTATGATTTCGAACTACTATGAAACACGATAGGTAAACATTTAATGGGTAACAATTCTATCAAGATGCCCCGACAATGTGTTTATTAATCCTAATATCCCAGTTCCTAATACTAATATTGTTCCAGCCATCCTTTTAGAATTTCACGGCTCGGTTTTTTCTTTCATGGCTCTAAGGCGACACCTGCTGTTCACTGATCAGGACCAAAGTGGAAATATTTGAAGTCCTGTGAATAAAACAACAGCGATTGTTAAAATGAGACTAGATGCTCCAAGTACAAGCAGTGAAGTATAGCCATAACTGCAGGGCAGTATCTGAATAGCAACCGACCAACATTATAGCTGTGGTTTGTTAACATCGTAACATGAAAATGTTATAACACCAATGAAACGAAATGATGCTGAATTTGCCATTTGGTTGGGTTTGTTTCTTTTCCCATTTCCCATCATGCTCTCCTTTGATGGATGGATGGATGGATGATGGATGGATGGATGGATGGATAACACCATATCAGGTTTAGCAATCTATTGTCAATAAATCATTAAATGGCATTTCTCAACGAAGCCAGTCGTATGTAGAGAAACAAGCCAACATCTCAGAGAATCTGTGTCCTGTTCGTCACCTCCCCTGTGTGGTCTGCTGTACACATACATGAGAAGAGGCGGACTTATCTCTTTACATTTTTCAAAGCATCAGTAAAGAAAATAATACACAGCAAAAGCAAGGTTACAAATTGCCCCATAACAACGAATTACTATTGAAGAAGGTGCACCAAAGCACCAGTCCACTTAAGACTAGTTAATCAGTTCTGTTACATAACAAATTACAGCAATATGAAATGTATCCGTGTATCTTTTATGCAGATACAGAATGATGTATACAAAACGGGGAATATATCTTCTTGCCAGTATATCTGACCATTACTTGAAACACAAAATATTTTATATCCTTAGCCAGACTGAAAAAGCAGGAAATCCAAGAAGAATTGACATAGAGTAACACTTAATGAGATTGGTCAGCTCAGGCTGTAGTGCTGCCATAGCCACCGTTTTGCATGTTTAAGTCTCCTCTGGGTATTTAGGTTTCCTCCCACACACATGCTGTTGAGCTGAACTGTGACCTGATTTGTGTTAGTGAATGGGGGCGGGTCCTGAAACGGTCACGTGCTTTGCATGAACTCGAGTGCTTCCGCCTTACCTGGATAAGAGGCAGCTTCAAAGGCATGGAGAGGTACAACATTCTGACCAACCTCTATCGCAGTGATGCGAGATGTGGGACACTGATACCTACTGTGATTGATCACGCATCATTGACTAATTTAACCCAAAGGGAGCCAATACAAAAAATATACAATTAAATATAAAAGACAAAACTACAAAAAACAATGTACTAACTCTAGATAATTAAATAAAAGTCAACCACAGATAGTATTATTAATAAAACGGCCTATAATTACGCATAAAAAGGTTAAATAAATGTGAGACACCTGCTGGGACAGGGTATAAACAGCTTTACGGTACGTGCAAGTAAGCTTAATAATTATATAAACAAACAGATAAGCAAACAAACAAACAAACAAATTCGTACAATGACACCTATTCGTACAGTAATACCTATAAATATAATGCAAAACATTTCCCATGAACACCTCACCACCTGAAGTCATCATACCGTGCATAATTATACCATATGCAATGCAATTCTAAGAATAATAAGCTTTTATATATTTATGTTTGTATTTTTCGATTTTATAAGTCACACAAGTGTTATTTACACAAATTTAAGTATGAACTTCATAGCCTATTAATAGCAGCCATGGTATCTTCAGATAGGCTATCAGTTACGCTTAGAACTTATGGCAAACCTTACTTAAACAAAACTGTATTATATAACAAAAACGTAATTAAATATCCGTGTTTTGAAAAGAGATCAAATCTAAGGTGTTTTGCTGGTTGACCGGAATGCACTGAAGTACTTCCAAAAGTGACAATTGTCGGGTCCCGCCCAGGACGGGTGTGGCTCAGCGGCTCGTCAGGTAATAATGCCGAAACTGCGTTAAGCCGGCGGAGTTAGTGCACAAACACATGTGCAAGACAGACACTAATCAGTTTTATATAAAAAAGGAACCATTTATCTTAAACAGTTAAAAAACGTGTGCCTACAATGCTATTTATTTATAACAATATATAGATTTAAGCTTGTATTTCATAATTTACTTTTCGTGATATCCTGTAAAAACACTTATAACGATTTTTGCTTTTAAGTTAATTAGGAGTGTATCGCCTCGACGTTGATGCAAATGGGCAAACTTTTTAAAAGAAACTGCTATGCAGTTTTTCTGATTTTTTTGGTAGTCCATGCGTCCTGGGGGTATGTATCAAATGGAAATCAGTCTGGTACCGAGGACGAGACGGAGTCTGAACAGGAGCAGAATCTGCCTGTGTTCACGCTCAACTACAGCCGTATACAGATGCCGCTGGAAATCACGCTGTGGATCCTTTTGGCGTCATTTGCCAAAATCGGTATGTTACATTTGCGTTCATCGTTATATTAGGATGACTGCGTGTTTGTATTGTTAGATATATTTGTCAACTTCCCAGACGATCAGTGTGAAAGCTTTGTCGGTCAATAAGGCGGCAACATTTTAATGTTTTGAAATCTTATTTTCATTTATTTGTTTGTTTGTTTTGAGGTTTCAATGTTTACGAAAGGATCACTATATGGATTCCGGAGACGTGCTTGCTGATTGGCGTTGGACTGATAGTGGGTGCCATTATGCATTCTGTACAGGAGCGACCCCCTGCGGTGCTTACATCCAGGGTCTTCTTCCTGTACATTCTGCCCCCCCTTGTGCTGGACTCAGGCTACTTTATGCCCATCAGGCCTTTCATTGAGAACATTGGCACCGTGCTGTGGGTTGCGGTGGTGGGAACGCTATGGAACTCTATCGGGGTCGGCTTGTCCCTCTACGCCGTCTGCTGCATCGATTTCTTTGGCGTGAGGGACATCAGTGTGCAGGAGAACTTGCTCTTCGCCTCCATCATCTCAGCTGTGGACCCCGTGGCAGTGCTGTCCATCTTTGAGGACCTCAGCGTCAATGAGCAGCTCTATATTGTGGCACTGGGAGAGTGCTTGTTTAGCGACGCCGTCACTGTGGTGAGAATGACCTTGGCAGATGCAGGATGAAATAAAGCTCAACTTAAGACTCATGGAAGTTTTACTTACTAAGCAGCTAGAGGAGCTTGGACCAACCAATCAGATGTCTTGGAGCTTGGACCAACCAATCAGATGTCTTGGTCCCGGCTCCTGTAGTTGCTTGGACCCACCTCCTCTACAATCTAATTGGTTATCTTTCTGAACCAATCATCTTTCCTTCTGCCCTCAGAACATTTTTGTGTAGGTAAAACTTCCACGAACCAACTTTAGTGATGTTCTGGCTCCTGTAGCTTATCAAGTGGAGCATTATGCTAATCCCAGGATGTGCATCTCAGTTATAACCCTTACTGTGTGTTGCTTTGGAGAAAAGCATCAGATAAATGTATATTTTTGTGAGGTTCCATGCAGTAAACAGATCTTTCCTCTCCTGGCCAGGTGCTTTATGATATGTTCACCTTTTTGGCTGGTATGCCAAAGGTGGAGTCTAGGGACGTCTTCCTGGGTATGACGCGCTTTCTCGTGGTGGGCGTGGGAGGCCTGCTTTTGGGTGTCCTGTTCGGTTTTGTGGCCGCCTTCACCACACGCTTCACGTCCAAGGTGAGCGAGATCGAGCCACTCTTCGCCTTCATGTACAGCTACCTGGCCTACCTAGTTGCGGACATGCTCTCCACCTCCAGCATCATGGCGTGAGTACCCGTCACACCAGGGTTCATCTCCCCCTCCTAACTATGTGGAAGGATGTCAACATACCCTCCTATTGGCCTTCAGCATTGTGACCTGTGCCCTGACCATGAAGTACTATGTGGAGGAGAATGTGGCCCAGAATTCCTGCACGACCATCCGCCACGTCATCAAGATGCTCGCCACGTTGTCCGAGACGGTCATCTTCCTATTCTTGGGCGTGGTCACCGTGACAACAGAGCACCAGTGGAACTGGGGATACATGCTGTTCACACTGTTGTTTGCTTTTGTCTGGAGAGCGCTAGGTAAGCAGTTCTGTGAGCAGAAGGGTGTGTATGTGTGTGAGCGTGTGAGCGGGTATACCTTACCTTATGGGGACACAATGTCCCCACAACGTGATGAATACCCGTTTTTTCCCTTATGGGGATCAGGGAAAACTCAATTTAATAAAAATCTGTGACTGCAATGAAAAAACTAAAAATTCAAAAACACTTGGTATTTTGCTTAGTTACTTATGGTTAGGGCTGGGTAGGGGTTAAGGTTGTCATAGTTAGCATTAGCATTTTTCCCATAGAAATGAATGAGCGGTCCCCATAAATATATGTATATCCGACTTGTGCGTGTGTGTGTATGAGTGTGCGCGTAAAATGTAATTTTTTTTTTTTTTTTCATTTTTAAGACAGATTTTTTGTGAAACCTCATTTATTATATTTTACTGATACTCAAGAGATTGTATAACGTTTCTGCTCTGCACCCCCCCCAGCTGTTTTTATTCTTTGTTATTTCTTTATTCCTTATTACGTTCTTTTGTTATGTTTATTTTATCTTGTGGCAAACAGCCATGTGACTCTTGCCCTGTCTTCTTACTGGCTTCATTTACGCAATTCGGTCTCTATTTCTGCACAGACTGTCCCCGACTTACAACCTACGCAACTTACAGTGACTTGCACATACGACTGAAGTAAATGTGGGTAAAAATACATTTCAGGCGGCCGCAAGCCCGGCAATGCTAAGCTAGTCGGGGACAGTCTGTATTTCTTCCTAGAAGTTTGCCCGGCAGTGCTAAGCTAGTCGGGGACAGTCTGTATTTCTTCGTAGAAGTTTGCCCGGCAGTGCTAAGCTAGTCGTAAGTCGGGGACAGTCTGTATTTCTTCCTAGAAGTTTGCCCGGCAGTGCTAAGCTAGTCGTAAGTCGGGGACAGTCTGTATTTCTTCCTAGAAGTTTGCNTCGGGGACAGTCTGTATTTCTTCCTAGAAGTTTGCCCGGCAGTGCTAAGCTAGTCGTAAGTCGGGGACAGTCTGTATTTCTTCCTAGAAGTTTGCTGCTACATTAGAAGATGACCCCGAGACTCCATCCATTCCCAGGTGTCGTGGTGTTGATGCATGTCATTAACCCTTTCCGCACCATCGGCTTCAACTACAAGGACCAGTTCAGCCTGACGTACGGTGGCCTACGAGGGGCCATCAGCTTTGCTCTCGTCTTCCTCCTCCCCCAGACCATCGTCTGGCGCAGACTCTTCCTTACTGCCACCGTCACCATCATCATATTCACCGTTTTCATCCAGGTAATGTACAGCCCAGTGCTAATAGGCTGACAAAGCCTGACTTGAAGATTAATGTGTACTCAATCTAATGAGATGCACTGTATTTCATATCATTGTGTACGCTTTAATCATTACTGAATCTGTTGTTTTTCGAAAGAATAATCAAGTTGAATTAAATCAATGTTTAAAAATGTGTTAATGGTCGATAAATCCAGTAACAACTCAGGAATGAATCAATTTTCCACAACCGCTATACCAGTGCAGAGTCATGATGGGCCTGGAGTCTATCCTAGGATGGGGCACAAGGCAGGGGACACCCTGGGGGGGATGTCAGTCCGTAGCAGGGTCACACTGCAGAGATACCAGTTCACCAAACTGCATGTCTCAGACCTGGGTGGGATGTCAGTACGTAGCAGGGTCACACTGCAGAGATACCAGTTCACCAAACTGCATGTCTCAGACCTGGGTGGGATGTCAGTACGTAGCAGGGTCACACTGCAGAGATACCAGTTCACCAAACTGCATGTCTCAGATCTGGGTGGGAGAACCCAGAGCAGAAACATAGAGACTTTGCATACAGAGGAGGCAGGAATTGAAAATGCAACTATGCTGTGAGGCCACTGTATTTCAATAGAATAGAATAGCAATACTTTATTGGTCCCCATGGGGAAATCCTATCCCATCCTGATCCCCATGAAACACACTGACACATACACAGGTGAGAGCCAGCTTGGGGGTTATAGCGCAGTGCCGGCCAGCGTGCCGCCCCCCCCCCCCCCCCCTAAGGGCCTTGCGCCATCCCGCCAAACCACCACACCACCCTCAGACATTCCGTTAGACTCGATTTACCTTCAGGATCGTGCTTAATGCTGAACACCCAACAGCAGTAGTGGCCATTAATGAATAGGATTCAGCAAAGATGAAGCAGTTGTTCTCATTTGGCTTTTCATCTGTGATCTGAAACAGGGAATCAGCATCCGACCCTTGATCCAATTCATAAATGTGAGGAAAACCAATTGGAAACTGGAAAGTATCAATGTTGAGATTCATGTGCGGGTAAGAGGCTAATCTTTAGACTTATTTGTCTTGTCTGCCCCTATTCTGTTTGCACTATTACTGACACTCAAAGTACTTTTTGGTTCACTTTTGGTGGCTCTAAAATCGGCATCCTGTATGTTCATCCAGGCGATGGAGCACACCGTTGTCGGAATTGAGGACATCTGTGCTCAGTGGAGTCACCATTACTGGAAAGACAAGTAATAGCCTGACTGGTGCAGCTTTCTGACGATTTAGCCATTTGAAATGTGCAGTGAGCAGTGATGCTGCTTTTAGCTGCATTCTAATTATTAAACCAGACTCTTTAAACACAGGGACAGAGCATTACGACACACCTGTATGTGCAGACTGTGCTCATTATAGCTCTATTGAGGCTTGAGGTGTGAGATTGGTTGCGTCTGTCACCATAAACATCCAGCTCTGCTATCACTTTGTTGAGCTTCGGTCAGTAGTTTCCATATTCTGTTCTTTTGCCCTCTGCTGGTAACCCAGCCCAGATCTTCTCGTGAAGCTCTTTCTCTTACCCAGTCTTCCTCCTGCCCTTTATCATAGCTTAAGAGCAGCGTTTCTCAAACCAGTCCTTGGGGACAGCCAGCTGGCCCACAAAACATACTGTAGGCTGTCTGGAGGTCTGCTTTGAGAAACATAGACTGTCTGGAGGTCCAAGACTGCTTTGAGAAACATAGGCTGCTTTGAGAAACACTGCTTTAGAACAATGCTGAGAATGATGATAAATGATGTCAAATGGGACATCTAAATTGTCACAGGGCAGTATGTTTTTCAGTTATGTGCTCAATACGGAGTACTAGTACTTACCATTATATAATACGAGCAATGGCAGTGAACAATGGGCTAAAAAAATAGAAGCAGGTTTTTTTTTAAAGTCGACAGTGTTTGAGTATGGGTGTGTAATTAGAGCCACTTAAAATCTATTCCATCACAGCACTGCAGTTCATTTCAGTTAAATGGAATGAACTGGGTGTCAGTAAGGGTCTGTAAGTGAGTTTGGATGTTGGGCCAAAGTTCTGTAGTGAAACGGATTGCCAGTGTTGCCTCCCCTTGATTTAGACTTTCCCACCGGCGGTATTTCCAGTTAACTGCACTCCTGCATGCTTGTTACAGACAGGGGTTGTGTTATTTCATTTTATGATTTAATGGATGGGCAGTTTTCTGCTCTGATCCCTGCACACAGGTTACAGAAGTTTAATGACAGGTTCATCAGATGGATCCTGATCAGGGACAACCAACCAGAGTCGAGCATTGTATCTCTTTATAAGAAGCTGGAACTGCAGAATGTCATGGATATTCTGGAACCTCCTGCAGTTGGTGACTCACTGTCTCCTGAAACCCCAAAGTGAGTCAATCTTCTGCTGCAGCTCCGTTTCCAGCCCATCGATCTTATTTCCGCTGGTTCCTTTCTCTATCCCTCCTTTTCCTCTCTCTTCTCACTATTTTTCTACCACATCGCCAATGTCGGCTTCACATGCCTACACTTACTAGGTTCTGTAAGGTTCTGTGTCATTTCTCAGCTGCATGAATACTGTTGAATATTAGCAGGTTGAGAGTCTGCTTATGATACATGGCGTTCATGAATTAGCATTTTATATCGCTGAATTACCAGTCAGGAAGAATCTGCCTCCAAACTGAAGAAGAAATTCTTGGCAAGCGACCTGAGGAACATGCACAATCTCTTGTCGAAGAACATGTACAAGATACGACAGAGGGTGAGTCATTGCCGTATTCCCTATATGGATATCTTGTAAAGAAACACTTGCTTATATCTTTGCAGATCTGCTGTATAATTCCTGATTTCTGAATCTTTTGCATACTTACTAGGACTCCTAGTAACTCCTCTGTGTTTTCTCATAATTATATTGTCTTCTAAAATTATGTACGTATATTAAAAAAAAAGGCAGTGTACTCACTATAAGAATTTTTTGTCTGCGACCATGTTAACATTTCACTACCAGATGTGGTTGGCTAGGAGATGGAAAAGACAAAGCGAGGGGGTGATTTTACAGCTACTCCAACCCATGCTAAATACAAGACAAGCTTGACAACATTCATTTCCTACTATTACATGTAGGGAGCTGTGAAACCGATCTCTGAAATTGAGGTTATAGAAAAGACACAGCAGTATTACTATAGAATGTCACATGAGATTATACGCCTAGTACCGTGTTTTTGTTCTAATCGGCAGCTCTTGTTGCAGTCTTTAAGCGCTTTCCTTCCTTTTAGATTTCAGGCCTACACATGTGCAAGAGCGAAGCCTTTTTCTAAATTCAATTAAGTGCTTATGTGTTAACGTTCCCGTTACCTCTAAGCATCTAATGAGCATATTCATGATGGTGAATAATTTCAAACGCCCGTGTGCTTCCATCAGACGGTATCTTACACAAGCAAACACGCCTTGCCTGACGAAACCAGGACCCGGGAGATCTTGATGCGGCGGCATGCCAGCCTTCACCGCAGCCTGAGAGGCGTGGGGGAGCAGCACAAGGTGCGGTGGGGAAGCTTGGAGAGGCTTATTGTGTTGCCTTGATTTCAAAGCAGGATTGTATTTCCTTGTAATTATAGGGGTGGTTTCACTTCACTCTTCTCATTCATTTCCAGAATTTAGCAACCACGCAGAGATATTTCTCCCTTCCTGCTCAGAGGAGATGGGAACACACCTCTGCTTCTAAGAGATATCCTATTTCTGGTAAGTTTAAGAATAGTATTGTCATTGTCAAGGTGTCATGGAGTCCATGTATTAACTGCCATAAACACAGCGCAGTGTTCACATTTTTGGTTTCTGTGTTGCTTTACTGTTCCTGTTGTATCTAAGAATGTTTAGGGTTTTTTTGGTGTTTGGGTTATGACCCGATATGGAGAGGCGCTGTCTGTGTGCCCATGCAGGAAACTTTGGGGCAGAGGTGGAACTGGACCACTCTCTTGCCAGTCCCAGGTCCAGACTGCTGAGACGATCTACATCCCTTGGCGCGCGGAACTTGGGAGCCTGCCGGGATATGGCTGCAAACGCGGGCATCGCTGCGGTGAAAGACCACAGGGGGCGACATGGGGCTCGTCGGACTTCCCGTCCAGGGTCCAGTCAGTCCAGGCCTCCTTACCCCTGCCCTGCCCGTCAGCACCACCTTCAAGACCCTGTGAACAATAGTAACAATAGAATGGAGGCAAGCGACAATGGAATGTGGAGCCCTTTGCTCTGACTGCTACCATGGAAACCACAGAATCTGCAGAAGAGCGTAATCAGACCAGTGGGTACCGTACATGACCCTGTGTTTTAGGCCATTGCGTAGCTTCCCAGATCTCTGCTGAAAATTGACCTTGAATCAGTCAGGAACCATTCATAGGAGAACTGTACCGGAACATTCTAGGTATTTTGCTTTCATATTCCACAACTCTTTTAACGCTCCTGTTTTGAAACGGGCTTACCAGTAGTGCTATTCACAATGTTTTAACACAACTCACCTATAATATGTGCTGGAACATCACAGCAGAACACAATACTGTCTTAGCTGGGAGCTCCTGCACCCAAATGCTTTGTCTGGTGATATTGGTAGCAATTTGCAACTAAGTATCAGATATTAAGCACCTTCAGTATCATTCAGCATTAGTCAAACTTCTGGATTGTTTTGGGGAAATCAAAACATTGGTTGTGGCTTTTGTTCCTCATCACTGGACCCCAGGGGGATCATCGGTCCTTCAATGTCACACCTCCACAAAGCACCACCAAAGGAGACAGATCAGCTAGGTAAATACACCCAAACAAAAATGACAATTGAATAATTCTGTATGAATAGGCAGCAGCCATAGTGTTGGCTATGTGGGATAAGTGCCACCCCCAATGTAGAGGGTCCCGCAGCCCCCATCATTCGCTGTTTGACAGCCCTGGGACTGCATCTGTGGGCCTTGAAGTGCTACTTGTCACGTGTGTTTTGATCCTGAATAAATAATACAAGTGAAATGGGAAAGAACAGCATGTTTGTCTCTTTTTGTCAAAACACTAAGAAATATACCAATATGTCATAATAATACTATTTTAGAAATCCATATTTAATTATGTTCATATTGATAAAAATATACATATATATAATAATTATGTAATTGAAACATTTATATCTTTAAAATATCTGTATTTTATATTGTATAATTGAATACAACATTTTATTTCTGTTAAGTACGGGTTGTTGAGAGTACACCATAAATAAAAATATACTATTTAATACTGATAATTGTTCATTATAATATCTGTGGATAAGCGGTTGATAGATGAATGAATGGACCTGAGCAAACATTTCTTTGTAAAGCTACGTTTACACCTGCACATATTCTACGGCCACTTAAAGGACACAGATTTATTTTTTATTATATTTTATTTTATTTGAAAGCAGTGCACACAGACACACAGATTAGGTATCTATGTCTTTGTTAGGATTCTCTACCCTAATCCCAACATGACAGCCTTAACCCCTATCCAGCCCTAACCTTACCCATAAGTAACCAAACAGAATACAAGTGTTTTGGCATTTTTAGTTTTTTGATTACTGACATGGATTTTTATAAAATTGAAAATCAAAAAAAAGGGGTTTTTATCAATGTAATGTACTGTATATCTGACCACACATATACAAATACAGAGGGAGACCCAGGAAGATCCATCCCAGCATCACCCAGCATCACCCAGACCCATTTCATTATTTTTTTTACTACTTGGTATATTGCATGTTTTTCAACAAGTCACACTACTGGCTATAGATTCATGAGCGCCAGGCTGATTGCTGAGACCCTTCATTATGCTATAAAATGACATAGGCTACATGCAACTGAAAATGTTCTAATTCTGCATGGGGAGCTTGATACCTTACAATAATCACAACAAAAAAAATTATTAAATTTGTATTAATTTATCTTAAAGATATAAATTAATATATTGAGAAAGATGGCATAGGTAATATGTCGTCACACACTATTAGCTAAATCCATTTTTATTTAAATTCAGAAGTTTGAGAATGTCATTTAATTAGGCAGAATAGGTTATGTAACTCAGTAATACATTAACACACAAACAAAAAAAAAACATTATGACAATCCGGATAACCTTGCCAAGTCGGCCTACCTTTGTTACGTTGTCCCACATCTCAAATCTCCTCATTACATCGGAGCTGTTTACTTAGCTACACTACTTACATTCCGTATTCCTCTTATCTATCTTTGTGATTTGCCCAGTTACGTAACAGATTTTGGCATCCCCATCAATGGTTTCCAGTTTATCCCATTTCTCGCTGCTCAACCAATCCTGGTAGCTTCCCTTAAATTGAGATTAAAAAAGAGGTACGCTTAAATGAGATTACACTTTTATCTTTAATGTGTTAAGTAAAATCCATCTCTGTTCAATTTAACTGTTACTTTGTCATGTGACATAAGCCTCATGTCCTCAAACCCACAAAGCATTCAGATGGTATTTAATGCTTTTAGCTGCACTGGTTCTGCAAGTATGGTTTTATGTAAACCGTTTCCCTCAAAGATCAATACTGATATAATTTACTTTAAAACGATCATTTTAAAAACACGTAATCGTATTAGATGCATTACTGGTGTATTAAATGTATTGCTGTATTAGAACTGTAGTTGTTTTTAACATAATTTTTTATAGGGTGTAAGCCTCATACTATTGGTCAGTCATGAGATATTGTTGTCTCACCAATAATGGCTTGTTCCCTACTGGGGTTTCCTCTGTCTTCTGGAATTTTCCGTTTCCTTTACAATTATATGTGACCCATGTGATCCTAGTTCTACAGTCGGAGCGGAGGGACATGCAGCAGTGTCACCAATCGCTTACCCTTCATGTTTGCTCTGGTTGGTGACGAACTAATCAAGAAGATGCTTCTCCTTCGGACAGGATGATGCAAAAGTAGTGCCAACAGATGGAGGTATAAAAAAATATTGCATAACATTTAGGAGGTGTGTAACAGACCTGGCAACAAAACAAAAGGCAATGAACAAGATGTGCAATGAGATGTATATGTATGACATCTATGAGTCTATGGGACTCCTATGAGGAAAAAAAAAGTTATGCAATAAAGTATCACTAATAAATGATTATATATGATTATTAGATGTTAGTAGAAGTAATTGAAATTGACCTAATTTCAATACAGGCCTGCCCTGAGGTGCGTGGCAAAGTGATAAAACGATACTCTGCAAAGATCTCTTTAAGATTTGACTGGGAATTCTATGAGATGCGATTCTGTTTTCTCTTGAGAAAAACTATGAGAAGTGTGAATGAAAAACCTGAGTCTCATCTTTGTACTGTAGCGACTTCATTTTCATCTTTGAGAAACAGAAGAAAACCAGATCTCTCTGCTTGCTACCCTTCCTCTAGGGGCAAGATGACACAGTCATTTGAACGAAAGGTGAATCCACAGAAAATAACAACCCTAACCCTTACGGCCTTATTGGAAGATAATTCAGCAGCATAACATGTACTTTTTTCTGAATGTGTCACAGATTTTCTGCACTGCTGCAGCAGTCATTTTAGTCCCATCAATTTGTAGTGCAACATCAGATCTTGTGTGGTTCAGCAATGCTCTTGGGAGGCTAACTTTCGCATCCATCCGTCTTCCAAAAACACTTAACCAATCGAGCTTATCCCAGGAAGCACAGGCCCCAAAACCTGGACAGCCCACATGAGATGGCAGTCCGTCATAGAGCAGATGCGCAATATGTTCAGTATTGGTATGGAGGGTTGTAGGTAAGTTAGGCTGCCATGCCTTTGATTGGAAGATCATATATTTAAATCCCTGAAATACTGTGTTTCCCTGAAAATAAGCCCTAGCATGTTTTTTCAGGATGCTCGTAATATAAGCCCTACTCCAAAAATAAGCCCTAGCTTATTCCGGGATAGGCTGCAACCCTGCATAGAACAAGCTGGAACCAAAAATGGATGGATGGATGGATGGATGTAAGTCACGTATGTTAAGGGAGTGGGAGGAAACCTAAACAATCACAGGGTGATTACATACCCAGAACTCCCAACACACTGAGCCGAGGGCAGGATTCGAACCCAAAACACTTGAGGTGTTAGAATACAGTGCTAATGCACGGTGCTTCTTGGGTACCCAGATTTACATAAATAAATTGTCAAATTGTTCTTTATGACATCATTAAACAGGACAATATTCAAAATACCTGAGAAAACACAATTATAGTATATGTGGTGTCTAGCTATAGAATAATACGGTATCCCAGTGCTTAACATTTACCATAAGCATAGTAACTGATTCAGGTGAGTATCCCCAGTGTGTATTCCCAGTGTCTATCCCCAGTGTGTATTCCCAGTGTCTATCCCCAGAGTCTATTCTCAGTGTGTAAGGGAATCGAATTTCACTGCATTGGCGAAATACCAAAGCACCACTAGGGGGAAATCTTGTTCTATCTGTTGCAGGGATTTACGATTTTTTTCCCCTTTCTTTCCATTTTTCTCCTTTTTTCTCTTTCGCAGAAGGTTGCATATAGTTAAAGAATCTAAAGGTTTACATCAGCATCAGCCCTCGCACATCTCTGAGGTTTGGACGTGATGCTTCAGAGCTGCGGGGGATTTATATTTAGTTTATTTCCTTTATTATTTACTGCCACGTTTTTCCCAGATTTCACTTACGGGTGAAAAGAAAAGTTTCACGCCTCTGACTTTATAACGGATGATTTGTGATCGTGCTTTTTTTGAGGGAAATCGAGGGCTGTCGAGAATGCTCCTTAAAGACTTGTTGCCAACTGTAATCCCCATATTACAAAGGATAACATTCTGCCTTATATACTGGCAAATGTGCAGATCTTAGCACAGCAAGAGGCGACTGGACTGCCTGTTTCCCTCCGGCTGGCCGCCGCGTGCAGATAACATGTATAGATACCAATGTGGCGTGTGTGTGTGTGTGTGTGTGTGTGTATTACCTGCTCTGCTAGTGTTTTTCATGATTGCTGCTTGACATAAACAAACGTATTTAAGGACACCAATATTTTTATGCTCTTTATCCAGAAAAACAGGCACCTATGAAGATACTGTATGCTGAATAGTTGTTGTGTTGTGTTGTGTTTGGACCTCTAGAGATTTTGTCTAGTTAACTTGACTTTGTTGCTGAAGAAGTACAATGCCTTGTTCCTCAGGCCTTGCAACTTTTATTTTAGCTCAGCTGAATGCGAGTCACCTTGCGGAGTTCTAATAACTGTATAATAACTCACAAGGGGTGCTGGTGTCTTGTGGTTTGTATGAAGGACACGAAGGACTCCCAAAATAAAAACAAACTTACTCAGAACAATATCACATCTGAAACTGTAGTGAAATACAATAATTACAGGTCCAAACAGGTCCAGTAATGCGTATCACAGTATTATCTTACAGTGATAAATATTATCTGTGATGACAGAATATATCAGTTAGTGCTGCATCAATCACCTTCTGCTAGCGTCTCTTCGTTCAGCGCAGTGCGTTCTGTTACACACTCAGCGTGCCTGTTCCTAACCTTACAGTCCTGCGACTCGGAGCTGCACCTCCACCGCCCTAAAAGCCGCTGAACCCGTTGACATCTCCTCATTCTTCTGTGACTTCCTAGGACCCGTTCATAAATCCTACTTTTCAGTCAATCTGCTTTAAGCTTCTTTCGAACCCGTGCACTGAGGTTTGAACACCTGAACGCTGCAAACTGCAGCATATTACAGTGCATCATCACTAACACGCTCTATTATTCTGCAGCTCAACATGCATGTTAAGGGTAGATGCCATTACAGCACTGTATGTATTATCTGAATGGTATTCAAGAAAAGCACCATTTGTGTAAAATTTTGATTTATTCAATTTAAACGTATTATAATGAACAGAATTTACCGTGGTGAATTACAAATTGTCAGTTGTATTTTTAAAAAAGGTACATTTATTTGAAGTCACGGAGCTTACAAGGAGAACCACAATGAAACATTTAGTGTTACTTATATGTGACCTTATTTACATAATCATCTAGATGTAAG